TATCTCTTCTGCATCCCATCGACAGAGAGGTTACGGAGAAAAGCTAAAGGGTTCTCTGAAAAGGTACAAGATCATATAGACATAGAAGGCCAAATCCCCAAATTAATCACCTATGGATTCAGGTACGCTTCCGCTATTCAGTCTCGATTCTCAATTATTCAATATGAAAGCTCCTGGATTAAAGCGATGTATTTCGCCTAAAGTTAGTTCCAACAATTAATTCATATAAAAAAAATCTATCAATCTAAGCAAGAAACCCGTATGTTCGAATAGTTTAACTTATGTTCACGCTACCCTAGAGATATACAACCCCTTCTCTACTACTAACGAAACAAGAACCATAACATCTACATATTAAGGCCTCAACTCTAGTACATAAACTATGAATATTCATCGTAGTCGGCGACCTAGTCAAACACCCATAATTTGTAAACAAAAAAAGTAGATTGCATGAATCAACTCATCAACAAAAATAAATACAACATCTAAATTAATCAACGATAAATAAAGGTTATTCAATCCATAAACAAATCAAAGTTAGAGTAGTTAAAAATACTATCCTAACATACTAATAATAATAATAGATAAAGGATAAAAGAGAGATAATGGCTGTGTTTGTTTTCCAGCGTTTTGAGCAAAACGCTAAATTAGCGGATTTGACCAAAATCCAAACCGCTAAATTGGTCACTTACTGCTGTTTGGTAAACAGAGTTTGAAAATAGCAGAATGAGGTGAAACGCTAAAAACCAAAACGCTGCATTTTGCAGCGTTTTTGGATCAGCTTTTCAAATAAAAGATTACAATATATATAAATATACAGATAAATCAATTTGATACAAAATAATCTGTCGAGGTATCTTGAGCTATATTTTTTATAAAAAAAAAAAGTGAATTATTAAATTCTTTTATAAAATATATTTTTGATACTAGAAAAACTTAAAATATAATAATACCAGCTTTTTTTACGTAAACAAGTACTAGTTAGGTGACAATTAGTTTTACCCCAACAAAAATAGAGACATTTAGTTTATAATATATAGTTATGTATATAACTATACAGGGAGGAAACATATATGAATACATATACATATACACGAAATTGAGTTCTTTTATATTTCTTAATATATATTTTTTATAAACTATTATTATTATTATTATTATTATTATTATTATTATTATTATTATTATTATTATTATTATTAGAGTAATATATTACTCACATTAGTTATGTTATTCAATTTATTAACATCAATCAGCTAATTTTACCAAACACTTTAAGACAATCCACTAATGTAATTCGCTGGTCAAAACAGCCAATACAATCCGTTGGTCAAAACAGCTGATATGATCCGCTAAGCGCTAACAGCTAACCGCTGATTGCCAAACAAGGTCAATGTAATTATCACTCTCGTATACGAGTCCGGCTTCCCACCACGTGTGTAGTCTCTTTCTCCTCGTGCTCAAATTTATGGAGGCAACTATTAAAAAGTATTATCTACACCGACAGATACTTCGTACTCAATCGATCTAAATTCATGAAAAATTGCAACTCAGTTAGTTAGCTACCAAATGTAGCAGTAACTTAGTTCCAAAGCCCACCAACAGCCTGCATAAATGGGCCAGGTTTCCTTATCTGGAAAGGTGTGGAGTAAACTTTAATCCATTGACATCCCAATGAAACCAATCCAGTTCCATGCTTAAACTTTAACAATGCCATGTATTTTTATTTTTTATTTATTTATTTTATTTTATTTTTTTGTGGCGCACACCTCTAACAAATATATCAGAAATTCTATGGTGCCACATGTAGCACCATATTATGGTGCCACAACTATCACACATCATGTTGTGGCACCAATCATAAGGTGCCACATCATGTTGTGGCACCATAACACGTGTCACATGTGGCACCATAGAATTTCTGCAAATATATACTTCAATCATATATGTTCCATCACAAGATATCCCTCCTAGTCCATGTTCTCTTTTGTCTTTATGTACCCTAAACAGGAAGCAAGGTATAAAGACTAATTATCTTTTTACTCAATAATTGCGTTTTTCCCCAAAGGCAAAAGAAAGGGCAACTCATATGCAAGAGAAGCTTCACCAATCTAACAATCATAAGTTCTTATATGTGTCCGGTTAACCCGTCATATTTTTTCTAACAAATATCCATACTTATCTCTCTCTGTATATTAATTCAGAATGTATTGAGCATAAGTAACAGATTCACACGCTCCAAATGCTGACATAACATAAATTTATGCTACGGACTGTTGTTTGTATATTAATTTATGCTTTAGAATCAGACTTGGTATAGACATAAATAACTTTTTTTCAAACTTGGAATAAAATTTTAATTAACAATCACTTTTATAATATATTTTAACTCAACACCCGTGTAGTACACGGGTATTATACTAGTATTATGTTATTTTAAAATATGACATTTCAGAATGAAAAAGATGTGAAGAAAATGTTTAGATACGAATTTCTAATAGGTATATGAATAGTTGAGACATTGCAAGTTCAATTTGTCCAACAACATGAAGGCAGCACCAGCATCTAATATATAAAAGTAGCTGCCTCCATTTATTTCGATAGTAAATGACAATATGAAAACAAAAATAAAAAAGGAGAAAAAAAAAAAGAAAAGGGGATGCTAACAAAACTCTAAATACAGAAAAGAATGGACAATAATAGATACCAAACCAAACCAAACCCAAAGAGAAACAAAAACAACAAATCCAAAATGCCAAATAAAATCCACACTAGGGCACATATATAACCTTTGGTCTATATTTTCACCTAATTCAAAGCAAATCCCAGGGGAAACTCGGTTGAGCCACACGGGTCGACCCAGCCGAAGTCGAGGGCCCACCTGGGGCCGAGTCAAATGTCTCCCATTGAGTAGTTATGACAACAGAGCCGCCTGCCGAGTGTCGAGCCGGCTGCTGCTCGACGGGCGAGTCAATTAACGAGTGCCCAAACGAGACCCGGCCTTGAGAGTCAACAGGGGAGGACACCTCTCCATTCGAATACCTCCTTTGCTTGTGAGGCTCGTAGACGGGTATCGGCACATCTTTTCCATTGCTTGTATGGGGCACCGAGTTTTTAATCTTTAGCACGTCGAGAGTCTCCACTAACTTCTGCACTCTTCTCACCTTACGAATTCGAACGAGCAAATGGGATTTCGTAAACCGGGCATATGAATTTGAATGACAGAAAAAAATAGATATAAGCATAAATTATACCTGCATTTTCCTCTGTAATTTAACGTCACCATCGGCAATGATGCCATCCAATTTAAGCAGTTGATTCATTAAGAGCTCGATGAGGTTCACGATATCCTTCTCCACCACTTTCGCACCCTTGGAAATAACGGATTCAAGTGCGGATACCTAACCGAAACCCGTAAATCATGTTTAATTAATAATTACCCATAAATCATGTATTCAATCGAACTAATTGATCATCAAGCGGAAAAAATTAAAACCTGTCCGGCTAGCCTATCGACTTCCAAGCTGATTTCTGATACAGATTTAGCAGACTTTTCCATTTTAGCACTTTTCCTCATTTCCAAATAACGCTTTTCTTGGCTAATAGGATCTTCTTGCAGCACGATTTTAGACTTGTCCTTGACACCCGAGGTATCGAGGAACGCTTTCGAATCCCTCTCTTTTTCCTTATAGAACAGCTTCTGATCCTGGTGGTGCAGGCCGGTCGGGCCGGACAACATCTTCTTCAATTCCCCTGTTATTAAATTAAATTTCATTTCACAATCAAAAACCTTTACATTCCAACAAAAACAAAAAAAAAAAACAAAAAATTGCAATTTAGTAGGTGAATCATTATCACTACCAAATGTGGCTTGTGAGCTGATTCGAATTTCGTGATAGATCGACCCGTATTTGACCCGGACACGGATAGTTGGTGGCGGGGCACGGTTTTGGTCGGTATCGGTTCGTGTCTGGACTAACATCCCACCGGGCCGAAGCTCCCACTCCTTCTCACGGCTGCTGCCGCCATTGACTGGCGGCGGAGGTGGCCGGACAGATTCATTCATAGTCCTCATTCGCATCATCCTTTTTTTTCTATGGTTTTTCCTTAAATCGATTCTCTCTTACAACACCAAAACCAAAACAAAAACCAAAGCCAAAATCAAAGCGTTCTCCTTAAATTGCCGCCGACAGATTTTCGAGACGATTTAGGTACTCAGCAGATCGAAAGCACTGACTCAGAGTTGATCTGGAAGTTAAGAGTCACACATATCCCGACTTTAGCAGATAAAAACGAGACAAAAACAAATTAATGAGATAAAAGCAAAAGCAAAATACGTATAACAGACTTGTGAAAACTCAGCACTACACGGATACAACGCTGCAGCCACGCGTGCATACGGAGAAACCTTATACACATTAAAAATCCTTAATTCAAATCCTTAATTCTTCTTACAAACTGCGCACCAGTAACCGTATGTGACGGCAGGTAACAACCACACAGAAACTGGTGATGGAATCTAATTTTAATTGTTTTTTTTTTTTTTTTTGGTTCAATAACGCATTAATTAGATGGATGGTGAGAAAATGGTGAATAAATAAAAGTCAAACTCGTGATTTATGAACAGTAAAAGGTAAAGATCGTTCTCCGGCCAACGGAATTTAATTATGTCGGCCGGAGTGGAAAATTGAGGGGGAAAAAAAAGACAAAAATAAATCAGATCTCTTACCAAAAGCCCGCGATGTAGTTGAGAATCATTTCTTGTCCCGTGAAATCTGCCGGAAATTTATGAGACTCCGAATTATAGGACTGAGATTAGGCCGCCGATTGGAATTATCAGAGATAAAAAATGTCAACCGTTGAATAAAAATAAAAAAAAAATTATATATATATATATTGCCCCTCTCTCTCTCTCTCTCTCTCTCTCTCTCTCTCTCTCTCTCTGTGTGTATGTGCTTGGTTGGAGGAAGAGGAAGAAGACTCGGCCGAGACGAATTAAG